TTTCTTGGAATTCCCTTTACAGCCAAGCATCTCCAGAGAACTTCCCGATCGACAGAGTCGAATGCTGCCTTTAGGTCAAGAAATATAATGACTGTTGGACGCCGGTAGGAATGCCTATGTTCTAGAATCTGTCGGAGGGTGAAGATATGATCAATACACCCTCTTCCTGGTCTAAAGCCTGCCTGGCTCTCTCGTGTTTGTGCTTCCCGAGCACCACTCAGTCTACGCATGATTATTGAGCCTAAGACTTTAGATACTATATTAGTCAAGCTAATCCCTCTGTGATTATCACAGGAAGACTTGTCTCCCTTCTTGTATATGGGGATAATCAGTGACTTACACCAACCCGATGGGACTTCTTCTGATTCCCAGACGCTGCCTAGTACCTCAGTTAATCCGGACAGTAAGCTGTCTCCACCGTACTTAAATACCTCTGGAGTCATTCCATCAGGTCCCGCTGCTTTGCCTAGTTTCAGATTGGTGACAGCTTTAGTAACCTCAGTTAGTGACGGAGGACCTGTGTCTATATCCCATTCAGGGAGGTGTTGGATGCTCGGAAGGTTGAGCGTGGCTGTGGGCAAATTAAACTGCTCCTCATAATGCTCTTTCCAACGATCCAGTCGTCTATCCTGGAGCTAATTATAGTGCCATTTTTTTCCGAGATTGTCTCACTAATGATTTGTCTTCTCCCACCCGTTTCCCTGATGAGTCCAAAGAGTTGCCTGGTGTTGCCTATCCTCGAAGCTTTCTCCATCTCTTTGGCTTTTGTCGCCCACCACTGTTCACGGTCCTTGCGGAGACTTTTCGTAAGTTTCCTCTTGTGCAGCTTTCGCTCCTCATTGAATTCGGAGCTCGCCGGAATAAGTCTTCTAGCATCTATCAGTTCGGATGAGGCGGTGGAGATCCAGTGGTTTTTACTCACCTTTGGGTTTACCTTATTCACAGCTTTTACAGCTGTATCTATGGCTGCCTGGATATTTTTCCAAGCTTCTTCAGGGTGAGCACAGCTGTCGAACACAGATATGTGTTTAGCTAGTTCTTCCTGAAATACGGATTTAGTTTCCTGATCGAGCTGGGGACGTGATGGTTTTACCGCCAGCTGTTTCCTACGTCCGTTCAGTCGTAAGCACACCCGAGCGCGGACCAGTGCATGGTCGGTATCTACGCACGTGTTCCAGAAGGAGCGACAATCTCCTACCGACCCACGCCAACGATAGCTTATTGCTATGTGGTCTATTTGTGTCCAGCGTTGGTTTGATGAAGGGGGTCTCCAAGTCAAACAGTGTCTCTCCTTGTGTTTAAAGTTAGTGCTTACAAGAAACAAATGATTATCAGAGCAGAACTGTAGGAGACGGTCACCGTTGTCGGTTCGCTGGCACGGAACTCCATAGGTGCCACCGACATCCTTCTCAGATTGACACAATTTCCCTACTTGAGCGTTAAAGTCACCAGCTAGAACGACTATGTCTGAGCGTTTAGCCTTTCCACCAAACTAGACAGCTTTTGGTAGAACTCATCCTTCGTTTCATCTGAACTGCAGTCAGTGGGGGCGTAGGCGGAGATTACGAAAAGGCATCGGCGAGTAGTGCAGTCCTTCCTCCTTCTTACTGATCCGTTCAGGCGGACAGCACACATTCGGCTATCTACCGGGATCCAGTCAAGCAATGTCTTTTCTGCCCTAGTACTCAAAGCTATCCCTACGCCAGCTAATCCTCGTGAACTAGCTGTGGCATCTCCTGACACCCTCAAGGTGAATTTTGCAGATTCAACCTGTTGGCCAGGTGGGGTTAGGTGAATAACCACACTTGGGTCTTGTATGCGTGTTTCTGAAACACAGCATACATCAATGGCTCGTGATGCCAGGGTCTTGGCTAGTGATGCTTGTTGTCCTATTTGGCAAAGTGTCCTAACATTAAGAGCTCCTATATGAAATTGGTGGCGCGGCTTTAAGAGGCTGTCGGTGGTGGTTTTTTGGCTTCCATCGTTTTTAGTGGACGCAGAGTGGAGAGGAAGTGGAGAGCTATCAAGTCGAGGAGTTGCATCAGTGGAAGGAAGGCAAGATGATAGAGATGAAGATGAAGACAAAGATGAGTGAGTAATAGAGAGGTTTCGTGTGCATTTCGGATTGTGAGGGCGATTGTTACTTCCCGGCTGCCCACACCGTGGAAGTTGGTTGCGTGACCGCAGAGCCCAGGGGACAACTGCTTGAGGCCGGTCACACGCGGCCTGTTTTTGTTCGTTCTTTTTTGTTTGGTGTGTCTCAGTAGCAGATTTATCACTCCCGCCCTGTGACACGGCAGCAGGAAGCGCGGTCGTTGTTAATCCGGGCCACGGCCGATCCGGCATGAAATTTTGTATTGGACATGATGTTGGATTGGGTAGCTGCTTTTTGTTTAACCGCTATCCAAACAACCTGCCTGGCATGGTAGAACCTCAAGAGACATAAGTCTCAGCCAGTATAGCTTGATTAGGTCATTGCGGTGTTCAAGCCCGACCACCACGTCAAGGTAGCAGCTTTCGGTCGGCATACTAGTGAATAATATAATCTACACAGCTAAAAACTTCCTCTACTTTTAATATTAGTAGTTTCTTCATACCCTTGATGGTTGGATGCACAATGGTCTACCTTCGTTCACTTTATTTGGTATTATTCCCAGTGACCAAAATTTAGCATTTATAGGTGTGAAGATTTAGGAAATCGCAATAAAACCTTATAATTGAAACTTATTTGTCTGCCATTGAATGACTTCTGGATAATCACAGTGTGACTTGAACTAGCAACAATAGGTCCGGTATTCGAAATGGCTACTTTATTGTATATTAGTGGACTGGTGACACCTCTGAATTCTGGATGTCATACTCTACTGGTTATATCATCTTATCAGCAAATAGGCTGTACGCATTTGACAAAATGTAGTTACCTACGGAATGTTTAACATTCGTAAAACATAAGCTGTGTAGCTCTTCTTGTGGTGGTGTGATACAGACAATGTGTGCCACAATTCAATTCGACATTAACAACACAATATAATATATCTCTATTTGAACATTCTGTTTGTTGCTAGAGTCGGAATATTTTTCCCCCGACTATATACTGTATTGGAAACAGAATACTATGTATATTTGAACATTCTATTTCATGTCGTTCAATGTAAACTGAAATCACACGCTCAGTGATTGGTTAACGAATATAAGCTGTAGATACATGAACAGCGGTTTGATTAATGGAAAATATACATTGACTTCTGTTGTTACACTCTAACCTCTTTTCTGAAGGAGAACAACTTGAGTATTACGATACATTTTACTCCGAATTTTCAAGGAATCTATACTGTTGCAGTAGCTTTGACAATGATTTGATATGAAGGATGAAAATTTTTCGGAAAATGTGATTGCAACTATTATGGAGAATACAAATGAGTTCACTTTATATTAAGATATGCACTGAAGATGTTGTCCAGAAGGAGGACGACGAAAGCTTCGCAAGTAAATCGACCAGCTCAGAGAACATAACTTATTTTCAAAATCATTCACCTGAGCTACAAATCTTCTCTATTATAGTTTTACGCTCTTATAATAAGGAGTATATGTACGCAAATGATAAACTTGTAAAAACCAGAATATTACTCCACCTACACAACGAAACATGTTAAGTAAAGCTTTCGTAAACTTTCAGTATATATTCTGAGAGCATACACAGGTTTCTCCTTAACCGCCTAGAAGTGGAATAATAATACCACTTCTCACGAGAATTACAAAATAAAAACTGGGATTTTATCTAAGACTAAACTAGAAATCCTCTGCCTTATGTTATGACTGACAGATGACTGAATAGTCGGACGCCAGTCACAATAATAATTCACCAACAAACTTCAAATCATATCACATCTAATCTCAATACTGCATAACAGGAGAAAATGTCACTCTGTCATCAGTTGTGTTACAGAACTTTCCACAGTTGCTGTTATATATATATTTGACATATTAGTGAGCGCAGCAATGCATATCCTAACATTTCTACACCCCTCAGTCAATACTATTCTACTACTTCCCTGCTGTCCTCTTTATTCAAGATTACTGTATTTACTCGAGAATATAATCAAAACAAGTTTAAAAAATAGATGTGTATTCTTTCCCCTTAGACAATATCAACAAAATCCAATATGGAAAAAAAAGGAGAGAATCAATACAAACAAAACAAAAACACGGAAATAGAAATCGGTTAATTAGAATTAATGATGTGAACTTATAATATGTGCTATTTTATCACTGCACAATTAAAGTAAACAATAGACTTAGCACAATTGAATTCTATAAAAACATTTGCATAGGTATAGACATGTAGAGTGACAGGAGGCAACGTCCAATGGTTACTTTTTCCCGCCTCTGTTATATGGTATATGTATATAATAATGTGCATGAATACATTGTTATTGTGTCATCAAAAATTAGAGGCCTGAGAGAGAATCAACTGTCTTATGCTACTATGATGTTCACGCTTGTAAACACAACACACTACTACCGTCAAGCAGCAAGTAGTAAAGATGAAATAATAATCATAATAGTGGTGATGACAGTGATAATATAGTAAATTAGACTTATTTACAAACAATCAAGTAAGTGATATATATATATATATATATATATATATAGAGAGAGAGAGAGAGACAAAAGCACAATAAGAAAGGAGTATAGAATAGGCGAATACTGAGTAAAAACAAGTATATGGATAAAATGCAACTGTACACGAAAACCTAACAAGAAGATAAAGAAGTCAAGGTAGTAATAAGTCTAAGACAAACTGTGCAATCAGTACTATTACTAACTAAAAGGTACACATGCGTATGTTGTATACATTGTAAATGCATATAGTATTAAAAGATTAGTGAAAGCCACGTTAGCCGTAAGCATAGATGTAAAGAGAATAGGGTGGATTACTGAATAAAGTACAAAAGTGAATGGAGGTAGGTAAGTGAGTAATATAAATATAAATGTCTACTTTAATCGGCACGTTCCACGCGTGCAACCACTTTGCCTTCCCACAACGGTAAAGTAGCATCATCATTAGTTAACTCTTCATGGACCACACCAGTGCCAAACTCATCATTTGGTTTCTTGAAAAAGTATCTGTGATGAATAAAAAAGAGAGAAGCAGTGAAGAATAAAAGATACGAGCGTCAAACGAACATGATATATGCAAATATACAAATAGTTATGCGCACAAGACACTATAATATAGAGAAAATAACACTAATTTAAAGAGAACCACAAAATCCAATTCAATTTCTCTCAGAGTTCATTCTTTTCAACTATTCTACTTTCATAATTTAAATAGAGTGAAATACATGATATGAGGTAGGTTTTCTTCCATCACCGCCAACTACATTTCTACTAGTGATGACATAAGACATGCTGCCAGCCTACTTAGTAAGTGTCAAAATTCTGGTTGACCTTATTTTTTGGTTACTGGCTTTCTGCCTTCCAACTTTGACAATCCCACCAGTGTCAGTCACTCACATAACACAAATAAGGGCAACAAATGTAAAAAGCAGACATGATTCACTGTTCAAAGCACTCGATTGCCGGCTAATAGGTCCCGAGTTCAGATCCTGCTCTACCTAATTCAACCTAGGCAGTGGGGTAGTACCATAAACCCTAAACATAACAAGCTTGGCTCATAGCCAGGAGCATAAAAGACCTACTCTGTGAACTGAACTCAAACAGATAATTGATTATAACCAGTGTATAAGATGTATGTATTCTGAAATATTGCATTGTTTTACAGATTTTGAAAGGTGTGTGAACGGCAAGACTTATTTAACTAAAAGGCCTAGAGGCTTACAGAGAAGCGATTGACCTACACAAGTTAGTTTACATCAAAATCAATCTATTCAACAATCTCTGACCTTATTTCTCCTTCATGTAACTACCTAGCTCATTGAAAAACTAATTTCGAACGGAAAATATCAATCAGATAATTCCAATAGTAAATCAAAACGAAAAACTAAAAACATTGAAGGAGAAATTCACAAAAGTTCACTTACCGATAAACACCTTTTTTGGCTATCAGTTGTTTGAATTGCCCGAGTGTTAACAGAGGTTGACCAGTCGAATTAGTTTGACAGTTATCTACTGTTTGTGACTGGTCGTTAACTTCAACAAGTACTGCTGAAGAGGCGGAGGACGATTGATTATTGTGTGATACAGTAGTTGGTCCAGTCCAAACAGTTCGATAGGGTACTGGATCATCGCATAGATAATAGCCGACAACTAATCCTGGACCAGAGGAATTCACGTTAGAAGTTTGTTGTTGTTGTTGTGTGTTTGTTAATCTACTATCCATATGTACACCAAAAAAAAGAAAACCATGTACATGTTGACTTAGTTGCTGAAAAATGAGGCCGATAAAAACAAGAACTGATTGCAAAGATGACTCTGCAAGGAAAAAGCAAAGCTTAATACATACAATAGGTTGTTTTATACACTTGTGAGTATTGCATCTATATCTGCTAGCTCACTTTTCCTATAGTGAATGCTGTTTCCTTTGCACAGCATATTCATTACGACAACAAAGCTTTGGTCGCATTTTAGCTGCACCTTTTCAACTCAATACCCATATCATATCTAGTCCTATTCATATCCGATGCTGAACCTATCAGTAAGCTTCACATTTTATATCCTTGTTATCAACACATAAGAATTATGCTTGTTGACAGATAATTTCCCGTTTTTGACTACTTTACTACTAGATATAGTAAATAATACTGATAATAATGACAGATTGCACAGGTTCACAGAATCATGCGATGCGTAGTCCGAATCAGTGAGAACAGATTCACACACCAGTCACTGACGACTAGCAACACCAGGCACCTACTCGAATCATAGTGGAATGATGATATTAGGTTAAGTGTTAGTTCAATACACATAAAATGAAAAAAGAGAAAGAGAAATAAACTGACCTGTTTGTCTTATTGTCATCATCGTCAGAATGATATTGACAAATACTTGACTCCATATTACTAGTGTTACCAGTATTGAGTGAATACTTCGGACTACTGTTTGTTCGTGGAGCACTAGATTTTCGATGATTATGCCCGTGGTGGTGGGTTTTTCGTTCATGTGATTCCTTGCACACCTTACTGATGTGTGATCTCAAATGATCGCCAGGATTGTGTTATCTGATAATGCTTTGCCTTGTTCATCATTAGCAGGACAATGAGATTTCTCAGATGGGTGTTGTTGTTGCAATTGTAGCCAGTGTTGAAGCAATTTACCACTGGAAGGCTTTTTACATTCATTTCCATCTAGCAGGAAATTGAAAGTAAAGAGGAGTAAATGTATCATGAATATATTTTCAAATGAGTAAAATAATGAATTATGGATGAATTTTAAGTGAAATTAATCACTAAACAAAAACATAAATTATTATTATTATTATTACTATGAACAGATAGCGTACTCTTAGCATTAGTTTATGTGAGAGAACATTGCATAGACAGACAAAAAAACACCCCGAAATATGAAGGTGTTTCCACTTTCAGCGTTTCCGTTTAACCAAATAAAATTAAGTTGTAAATTTATAGCAAAAAAATAAAATCGAACAGCAAGAAGATTAAAGGAAAAGAGTCTTGCCAGGTTGGATCACACAATCCAACAACACTTAGGAAACCATTGAAAACTAGGGAATCCTAGTAACCGCAAAGGCTCACCTCACAACATGGAAGTACCAAGCTAAATGTCCGGCACAGTCAATGGGGGCGTACAATGGAACAGTCCCAAACTACGGATGAAACAGATGCCCAGTACTCTTTGGTTTGCAATGGTTGTGTCCTAGTGATACCAGGTCGTCATACAACTTGAAACAAATCAAATCCCTGAAAACCAACACATAAAAATATTTCCATGCCAATTCAACACACTTTTGTTCAGACTTTTCATTAAATTGATAGCCGCAGTCAAGAAGTGTGGATAGAACTACTCAGAGCAGTATATTCAGGATCTCATGACTAAAGCAAAAATCTTTCAATGTTGGATATTCCATTCCAATCTTAATATAAGTGATATCATTTATGCTCATATGTTAGTAATTATCCTTACACTTCCAAACAGAATGTTTTAACTGCACATGTAAAACGGCAGTTCACGTTTCTAGCACAGACTTAATACTTATATATACATACATGTGTACGTATATAAACACTTGCTAGCAAAATCATTTGATATTTTTATTGCACATTTAAATCAGTGAGTGGTCTTATCAAGCCTGCAAGACAACCCCCATTCAACATAATAATTATTAATACAGGTAGTAAAGAAATAATAATAGTTTGTGTATCAGTAATGACCAAAAACGGCGGAACGGATGATGCCAAAGTCAGAATCGAAAGGTAAGATACACCTTCATCAATCTGAAACCAGTTTGAAAATCTCCTACACTTAACATAAGGAACAAGATGCGCATTTTCAACACCAATTTCAAGTCGGTCTTTCAATACGGGTCAGGGACTTGGCTGACGTGTCACGAAAAAGATTTCCAACAAGTCACAGACTTTTATCGACAACTGTCCACTTCGATGGCTGCATACTGAAGATCAAATAGTCAGCTGGCCAGAAAGAATTAGTAACAAGGAACTCTGCAGTGGAACAAACCGACCAAGAGCCGATTGATCAACAAATATGTGCGATAAAATGGAGATGGATTGGGCATATGTTGAGGAGACCGTCGAATGATATCGCACGCAATGCAGGACATCGCTCGAGTGGAATCCCAATGGAAGCGACAAATGGGTCGTCAGTGCGAGGTTAACATGGAGGAGATGAGAGATTTTGGGGAACTATGGTCCAGGCTGAAGAGGATGGCAGAAGATAGGACAAAGTGGAGATGTGCTGTTAAAGCCTTATGTTCCACTCGGAACTGAAGGGAATAAATAATAAATGACCGAGAAGACAGAACCATTCTGACGGTTCTCTGCACTTTCTTCTCTTTGATGAAAAACTATATCGGAGGCATGAAATGAATGAATTATTTGGGCCATCTAACTATGGTCACAATCCTGTGCAGTTATTATCACAGGATAGAGATGCTAGTGAATTTAATTTGCTGAAACATCAAAGTAATCAAAAATCATATAAAAAATAATCCGACTATTCATTCATTCATCCACCCTCCACTACCATCATTATCATTTACTACACTAACTACACTAATCATTTTCACTAATACCAAAACATCAACAGAATCACGTCTTCCCTCATTTGCACTTTTCTACCACCACCACCAGCACTTTATAACTTTTATTGCATCACTTTTGTTCCACCACTATAGAATCATCATCCCCAAATGAAAGTAATATATATACACGTCAAATATTGAAATGCAAGCAAATAAACTAAAAATTTTAAAGAAAAAACAGAAAAGTAATCTCTTTTCGACTTGAAAAAAGTGAAAGCCGAAAATAGATGAAAGTGTGCGTCTACGCACACACACACACATATATATATATATATATATATACATGCAAAAGAAGTGGGCACAAAAAGCAAGTATACGATACGATACGATAAGAGTGTACCTATCAGTGTTTACTGCCATACTAATCTATCTAATAATAAGTGGATGAATAGTAATAATAGGCCACTTCTATAAGGTGAACGAATTTATGAGTATGCAGACACACAAGCATAAGTGGAATATACTAATTAAAGCAAGAAAATCAACAAGACAAAATATCAAAGAATTATGCCGATATAACAAGTCTATATATATATATATGATAATCTTGGCAGCCTATGCATGTGTAGCAGTAGTAGTAGTAGTAATAATAACAATAATAATAGTCGCAGTAAAAACAGTAGTAGCACAGAACAAAAAGGGAGGAACAGGCTAATTGATCAAAGATTAAATAGTGAATGAAAAACATTCAACTATTTAGCTGAGAAAAACAAAACAAAACGCCGAAAACCAAAGGGAAAGTACGAAAGAAGAGACAAAAGCACAGAAGAACATCAAAGTGAAAGCCACAATAGGGAAAGTGTTTTCGCAGTGAGATACAAAAAAACGAAACAGACAACGATTATGTGAATGACGCATATAAGTACAGAGAGAACAAGAGACGAAAAAGGGGGAAAAGAGACAAAGAAAATAATTCAACCGAAATTTACTAGAAGCATTAAATAAAGGTAGGTAGGAAAACAAATTTATGAAAATATACACTTTAATTATTATAGCCAAATAATGATTGTGTCCCTGTTCTACGTGTGTGTATTTTTCCCATATTCCACAGAAAAACGTATACAGACTAAAAAGCTTTCCTCCATACACACGCATATGCATACACGCATAGATAAACACACAAACACATAAAAATGCTTTGCGGTCTCTTTGATCTATGACTTAGCACAGCATAGCATAGAAAAGAACAAAGTCGCATGAAGACAAAAAACACGACAACAGTTAAAAGACTAAAATACATAAACATTAAAATTTGCTCCACTGCCTTTTAATTTCATCTCTACGCGCTTGTATGCAGATGATACAAATAAGCCTTACACGTACACACAGGAGTATACCTTTCATTAATAATCAATACATGAAAGTCCTCAATTCTACATAAGATAAGTCTTAATGTTGACGTGTTTAATTTACACGATTGTGAATATGATTGTATACTTAAGTGTGTGTATGTGTGTGTAGAGATGTATCTGTCTGTCTGAAAGTGCACAGGAGTATGCGAATAGACGAAAGAAAATATTTACTTCCTAAAGCATGAATCATAACAGTGAGAAAATGATAACAATATCAATGAGTAAAGTTTTAAACAAAATTTTATCATGAACTGAGTAAAGTCCTAACATAAAAACTAGAGACAGTCTTATTTCGAGTGGTGACTGGCAGTGGAATCCAGGATGCGCATTTCGTCCTACATCATCTGGATGGTCATCTGCAATTCCCAGTAAGTGATGGTCTTCTCGCTGAGATACTGTACGAGATAGTTTTAGCATAATCAACTCTTGGTTAAAAGAATTATTCTATTGTGTAAAAACCAACAGTTATCATCAAAATAAGGAAGAGTTCGAATGAGCAGAGCAAACGATATGTTAAAATTCAACTTAGGTGCAGTGCATAACTGTAAAGTATACTGAAAAACAGCGTAAAAGTAGATTAACTGTGAAGTTTTGTAAACTACGTCAGGATTATGGTTTAAAGACATACATCATATCTTTGTGCTTGACTTTCCGCCTTAGAGACTAATCTTTACAATCGTCGACACCTGATTCCTTTTACTAATTTCATAATTATGTTTGGTAACAGTATGAAAAATCCTACTGCAGAGCAACGGCTTCTTTATCGAGGCATTCGACTTTCAATTAACAACTTGACATCTGGACAACAAAGAAAAACCAACTCACCATGCTTATTTACATCCTTAATCGTCATTATCTCTGGACAATGATGATGACGTGTAGGGCATAAATCATTTTGCATATAGTGTCCTGGTAATTGTTTTAAATTAAACTCATAACATGACGAGATGAAACAATTTGTTTGAGGATAATTAATGCTCCTACTAGTATTGTTACTATCGCATGATGATTTCGAAGCAGAATGTGTACGATTTCCTCGAGGAGTTGATAGATTTGTATCTTTTAAATTGACGTTCATTTGCCAATTATGAAGGCTTCTAGAAAAACAATAGTAAAAGAAATTAGATAAGGATAATATGTACATGCAAAATTACACAAAAAAAACTACAACTACTACTGTAATTTAATTTCTTTCACACACCTTAAGCGTATGAACTTTAAAAACAGTACACAAAGCTAATAGCATTGGTTACAAAGAGACTTTGGTACACCTGATTAAAAATCACATTTAACATTTTGCCGATAACTTATCATTTCATTCCAAGTTGACATTAGGTGTTAGTGTAAACTAATACTTGGACCTGATACACTTTCCTTTACGAATATTCTGTGATAAATTTCAATAAGGAAGAGTTCCATAATTGTTACTTTTTCTATCTTTAATGAGTGGGAAATTACTCAATGTGCTACACATAATACCATGATATTTAGATTTCATCCAAAGAAAAATGTAGGTGTTTATGCGTTTAGTATAATTTACTGTGATGATCTTTCCTCTTGATACTTAAGGGAAAGTTCATGGTTCGAACCTGAAACTGATGACAGACTATACTACTTGACAGTGTACATACTATTTTAATTTTACTCGACATTTTTTTGGAGGGGGGGGAACAATATCAGAAATTTTTGATCAGAATTCTTGAAATGCGTCGGTGTAATAGCGGTTAGGACGCTCGCCGACCATACACATGGTCCGGGGTTCGACCCCCGGTAGCCAACTCACTCCTTTACCTCGCTAAGCCAGAAATAATGCTGGGCATGAGGCTGGCTAGTAACCCCATCCTGTAAAAATTAAACACCGCTACAGAAACTTCAAGCCACTAGCTTGAGGCCCTATGTTCCACTGGGAACGTGAAGGAAAAAAAATATCAAAAATAAATTTAGAAAAAGGTTGTGTAACTTCAAATAACTAAAAACAAATACAGAAAAATATGACAAGTAAAACATACTGGCTTCGATTTTCGCGGTTATTTGTGTGTTTCTGTAAAGGTAACTGGTCATAGGCAGATGAGATCCCTGAGTCAAATGTACTCGAAGTATCCGAAGCAGTTGGGAAACTTCGACATGAACTACCGAGAACCGATTTATCACTAGACTGATTACAACCACAACTTGTTACCATTAAGTGAGGAGGAGATGAGTGTTCATTTGATGCAGAATGTGTTGAAGGATAATGAAAACAATGATGATTCCAGTCACATGGAACTCTATCAGCAGAATGTTGACAAGCTGAGCAAATTGAAGAATTAGGATTAAAACCTTGTACATACGGAGATTCGTAGAAGTGCCCAGATTGTTGTTGTTGTTGCCACTTCCTCTCTAGTCTGTATTTATATTCATATCCGGGATTTATTGTTTCCTTTTTCCCTTGATTCGAATTGAATAGCGGCAGCATATTTCCATTATGCCTACTGTCTCGATTGAATGTTTTATGAGGATAATGACGTATCATTTTTTCAACTAGTTTTGCTGTTACCTCTCCATTGACAAGAGCCAACTCAGTAGTTGATGAGGACAATGCTTGTACACTGGCAGCTTCTAGAATTGAACTAGTCTCTGCATCAAGATAATCATTATCGTCAGCATTATTGTTAAGATTCAAGCTTTTCATTTCATAACTTGTTACTACACCACTATCCCAGGAAGCTGTTGAACGTACATCTGATTTATTTACTCGATTCATACCTCGATAACTTCCAGCAGTATGCCATCTACGATGAGAACTGTCTGACATAGTAGGCTGATTACTATTAATATTATTATTACTATTAGCAGACGAATATGAAGCTGTTGTAGTTCTGTATTGCTCAGACAATCGTTTCATTTCATATTCAGTACCACTTGAACCGCCACGCACAAGACTGGAATGCATTGAATGAACTAGTGTATCTGATATTATAGGATAAGGTGTTGTAGACGATCGACTAGTTGTATTACGACTACAATCACTTTGTTGCCTACGATAATATGTTTTACTTGCATTAATAGTACTATCACCTAATTCATCTGCCCATATTCGAGAACAATGATCATCCAATATCTCTTGAGCGTCTTGTGATTTATCAGTATGTCGTCTATTTTTATGGAATACTGATTCATGAGGGTGATTCAGTCGTTTTGAATCATCAGTCGATGAATGAATAATATGTGCAGAAGTGAAATTAACTTCATTAACAGAAGGATTTATTGAAGAATTTGTAGCATCCTGTTGACACCAAGTAGAATTATTTAATTGGAGTGACCGATTGTAATCCTTAGTGTCCTTCAGTGGTACGCTTGAATGTCCAGATTCTACTGAATGCTTTTCATCAACCTTCAAAGGGAAATACAACAAAACAGGAAATTGTTAAACTTAACAGACAAAAGACATTTACAGGTTAACTATAAGTGAATTTAAAATAAAAACTGGTAATAAAACATCAACTTATCCAACCATCTGATATCGTCATATTTTGCTAGATATTAATAAGCCCAATTAATTTTCAAATGTACACCATGTTCACAATTGTTTAATTATTAATGATTTATAACTAGCACATAGCTGAGGGAAAAAATAAATGCCGTAAAATGACATCAGTGCACTCTGCTTTTTTTTTCATTTCTTGCGTTCTAAGTGTGAAGCATTGGCCTTCAAGATATTAAGTTCCAGTAAAATTGTTTCCATAAGATACCGTTGCTAGTCTCGTGTACAACCTTTCATCTTTTTCAGATTTGCTAGCGGCCATTGAACTAGAAGAGGTTTAAGAGTGAACTGGTCGGGAATCGAAACTGGACCACTTGAATGGTTGGTAGGCATCCCTACCATTGAATCACCAAAGCGACGTGCGTTTTATAAATTGTTATAAACTAATGGGTTTATAGACTGAGGAGAAATCTGGTCACCAGAGTAACACTTCCCTTACTTTGACAGGTTTCCTTTATCTTTTCCCGATTGAACTGATGCTGGTAGGTGTCCATGTCCATATGAAGGAATATAGGTCATTGTTTCTGACTAGCAGTTTGTATTCATGGATGATAAGATAAAGCAGACCTTTACTCTGATCAATATAGTGTTTCTCACATGTGATGCAAGTTATCCTATGAAGAATGTTGGCTTTGTATTCTTTTGCTGTTTGGTCAATTTGACTTCATAATATAAAAAGTGAAGTGATTGTGCTGGTTCGTGGACAAAGGTTTCAATAATATGACAGTGATTATAAAAATTCTCTTCATATATGGTAGGGTGATTTTCCTTGTAATATCCATCAGACGGTAATAGATTGGATCGAACGTGGGTAACATTTTTTCTCTGAAATTCCTTTGATATCCATTTTGGTGGAAGATGGTTTCCCAAGTTAGTCCTGACACTTTTGAATAAGCTTTGTATATAGATTCTAGTCTGTAATGCTGGATTACAGCTGTTATTACTCAGTATTTGATGTGTGGTTTGACTTTTTTCTGTACCCGTTCCATCTATAGATGGAAATTTAGTTCTCTAATTCCTGTCCTCTTGTAAATGTGATGTCATAGAAAAAGTTGATGATTAGCTTAAAACTGCTTTCTACATCATTTCGCCTAGTTATCACAAACGTGTCATTCACGTAACGCATTCAGATTTTTGGTCTCATTACCCATGGAGTTATTGTTTCTGGTCGTAGCACACAACTTCAGAGACTAGTCCTGATATAGGTGATGCAATTGGTATTGGCGTGTTATGGTCCTAACATACTTTCAGAGAAAGTATAGCATAACTACGAAGTACTCTTACACACCCAGGATTCCAGAATTTATAAAATAATTTCTATTAGTTAGTATAAAACATTAAATGGAGTTGAAAACTTAAAAGAACACAACGATTAGTTGAATCACACCTTAATGAAATTCGAATGCAAATAATCGGTTGGGGGTCCAGGGATGACATGGAAGGGGTTGTGTGAAGATGAAATTAAGGCTTGTGAGCAGTTGTGGGACCTGTTGGAAGTGATAGCAGAGAACTGAGTGCGATGGAGATGTACCCTATGTTCCACTCGAAAATAAAGGAACGAATATTTATAATATAATATTTATGTGCAATAGTCTTGTCAGTTTAATGTGTCATCTAAATATGGGTCTATTTCTCACGCAAAAGACTACAACTAATGTGTTACACAACCACTGAGGATACCACCTAATTCACTTGCAGTGGAGTATCAATCAAACTTGTGACTGAATACATGGCCAGTTGGAAGTCTAGACATACGACCTAATGGGACAACTATTGTTCACAGATATATCAAACTGCGAAAACAGAACTTCTCTCTCGGTCCTGATTCTACTGGACAGTAGACATTCTTATCGGAAGTGTTCCAATGTGGACTCGCTAAACAAAGCTTAAGTTGCCGACGTTTTCATCCAGCCAACTTAGTTCTTTTTGCTAAACTGTTGGAACTTATTGTAATTATCTGTTGAAGTTTTCTCATAATCTTATTGGAGTCTATTCTTTCGATTCACTGAAGTATCTATGATCTAGGCTTTTGATGCATAGCATTTGAGTCCGTATGACACACCAATATCCTGCCAAATCTAATAAGCTCCTTTATTACACAAGTTATCAGTCAATCAAGCTTAGTCATACTGAGTTGCATAGTTTCAACACTTAGTGTGTTCTTCATGCTTTATTCAAGTTTATCAAGGGAAATAATTGCAAGAAGTCCCAGAGAAGACGTGTTTTCATAAGTACAAAAAAGTGCAAAACTGAGGTTAGGAATACCCTGTTGATTAACTTCTGATATATAATAAGTTTGCTATCTCCACTTTCCTAAAAATAAAAGAATTAACCTACCTGATTAACAAGAGACATTAACTTCTCCACTTTATCACGTGACTCCTTTACTTTCTCAAGTCTCTCCGTTAGCAACTGAACAAATAAGGGCGGATCAGATTCTGCTAAATTCGTTTGTTTCCTAACTGGATGATGAAGTTTATTCGGATGAGATGGTTCTTTTGATACACTATTAAAATGATTACCGTGGACTAACAATCCACCAGTGGAAATGTTTACATGATTCGGATGACACGCAGTTTGCATAGATGTAGATGATTGTTGAGCTGTATGATTAGTATCCTGTGATGGCAGCATATTCAACAAACGTGACTGGTGAGTTATTTGCGGCTTATTGTTATAATTATCATGATGTTCGCAGGGTACATCCACTTTATTATTACATGAATGCTGCGACGTATCATTGGTTAGTCTGAATATTTAAAAAAAAAATTAAAACATAATAATAACCGAGCAATAGTAATTGGGAGAAACTAAAAAGTTCAAGGTTTTAAAACTGATTTACAACACTGTCAAATTAATTCTGTAATGAGTGATGATTATGTGAAAAGTATCATTCATTACTATTTCGCAAAATAATATTTGGGTCCCAAATAGCTATGATATCAAATTGATATTTGCAAAGTATAATTCAGATATTAACAGTTATTTGGTTTGTTATTATTTACCAATAAAGAGTATTGTTCACTTACTAATTCACTGATGAAAATGATGAAAGATGTGAACATTACGAGCGACTATATAGCCGAAACTTGCTGTCAGAAGATAGAAAGCACGGGAAGTTATTTAGGTAATTTCCTCTGACGGAGTTTCTACCTTAAAGTGTCATTTTTTAGCCCAGTGATCACAATAACTGAAACTATTAACATACATTGATTACGATCCAAAAGTGACAAAAGTTTACGCATATAAATGACTTTTAATCACAAGATTTAGACACTACAAATTCGACCTTGAATTGAGACATGTTTACTGTCGAAGTATACCAGCGACGAAACCATTGGTTTCCAGTATCCTTTAGCTGCATTTACGCACTGCATCCTCAACTAGTCATTTATTCTAAGAATGAATTATTTCTACAATCGAATCTGTAAAGTCATATTGACATAGTATATTAACTTGATCATATATCACAGTTCCCGTTTTTGGTAATCTGACATCATTTTACAAAGATGATAGTAAGAAAAACTCAGGTTGCACGAGCATACGGCCAAATACCATCAAGTTATCAGTTTACGGAATAGTCAGTCATGGAACCCAGTAAATGACCACGTCTCAATGAATTGCAAGTGATAACTGACTAAAATATAAATAACGAAACAAGGAACAAGTTTGCACAGAAATTCAATTCAAACTTCCCCGACTCCGAATAATAAACATAAAAGTAGGAAAAACAAATACAATCAAATCACTATGAACGAAGGTGAATGCAAGAAAGAGTATTATTTAGATCAAGTTGAGATTATTGAAAACCTTCAACATCCCAAGGAGAAAATTTCTACAGCTCCAAAAGACTTAACAGCTACCTATTTAAATGTCTTCACCCATTGACTCTGCTCTCCCAACGACCTTACACAAACAACCTACTAATAAACTTACTGACTTTTCAACAATGAACTTCGAAAACTAGTGAATCACTTCGAGTTACCACATTTATGAGAAACACGAAATTAATTGAAGGATTTCATCATTGCCTGACATTAGTTAGAGAACCGTTGGAAAACCTGCAGGGAGTACTGGACACCTGTTTCCGCCCAGTCAGGGACTCCTCACCAGTACGAACCCAGGATCTTCTGGTTACAAGGCGAGCTGGCTCGTAGACCATTGAGCCATTGGAACACGATCCAATAGCCAGCCGATGAATTCTAACTCCAGACAATTCACGACATAGCGCGACCACTTCGAAATGTCTTCTTCGATGAGTTATTGCCTCACCTCCAACCTGCTGCACCCTACTGGTCACGGCTTCCCAACAGAACTCCAGGTAAGCTGCCTGAATAGGGCCAGTCACTAGTCAGCGTCAGATTAATTTTCAAGCACTGGCTTTGTAGGGAGGTGCGTACTGATGAAGGGTCCCAAATTAGGACGAAATAGCTAATCCAGTACCCCCACTTTTCCAATGATTCTCTACCTGATGTCAGCTCGTGATAAAATCCTCGAACCAATCAAAAAAATTACGCGAACATTAGTTGACATTCTTGTAATATAGTTAAGCTATCAAGAACCATTTTGAACCATATCGTCAACAGTTCCCAACCTTTCTCGCCAACGGTACCGAGATCCCAACTCCTTACACAACTCAGGTCAACTCGTCAGTCACTTCATCGATCCATGTTATATTTTGGTAAGACTACCCTTAATACCTTTACAATTTGATCCTGCATTGCATGCATAACATGTGCCCTAGACATCTACAACAATGGAACTACGTGAGTCTAATCACTAATTTACCCACCCTAGCTGACTTTAAATTGATAAATATAATTTCTTATACCAATTCTTTAAATCTTTTTTTATTTCTCAGGTAAACTATCGAATTCACACAAAATGCTCCAGTGTTCATGATTATAGATTAAATAGGTAAAGCAAATAGAGAGAAAAGTGAAATTGCTTAGCCTTTCATTAGCATACATATGCTATGCATCGAGTGATATGCATACCAAAAAAAGAACACGTGAATAGACAAACACACAAAATTAGGAACATTATAGAGAAAGCGGCAGATAAACACATGAATACACACACAAGCATTTACATCCGCAAATAACAAGGCACGCATATTTTGCTTTGTTGTTTTTAAGCGCATTTTATGTATATGCTTGTCATAAGTCCGTCACCGCCATTTGCCGCCATACATTAGATAGGTGGATAGATCACTGAGCCGACAAACAAATATCTCTTATGTTTGTTGTTGTTATTATAGTTCAATAATGCATATACAGCTTAGAGTTAGCCGTCACCATCCTGTTTGTCTGTTTGTATATCAGCAACAATATTAATGATAGTAGTAGACCAATCTGATGTATGTGTGTTTATGATATACCGGTATGAAACAAATTTGTGATGTCAGTTAGCTGGTGCACATCAGTCGGCATTAGGTGTACACACACCAGTACAAGCAGATTAGCTTATATCAAATATACACAAATGCACAGAAAAATAACTTCCGTGATTGTAAATATACATCTCTACGGCCATAGTGTTCACCTATCCCATCTATGGCACACGCACATAAACTATACAAGAAAGTGTGTTTTTGTGTGTAAACGCCTAGTGGAACGAACAGCAACTGTTAGAAATTGTTAAAGATATGCACGCAGAGAGTAACGAGAAAATCGCTGCCTAAATTGAAAACATTATTATTATTGTTATTATCATTGGTGTGCGTAAGCCAGTGGACATTCATTTTACTGCGTCTGAACAAGAAATCGATGAGGATTTTAAAACACTAATCTGGCACAGTATTCATAAATCCAAACAACTGAATATCGCAATAAAAACCTTTTGTATACCTTGTATGCATAAATCTATTAAGAAAAATGGGCTATTTTATTAAAAAAAAGAGTTGAAAAAGGTCTCTTCGCTGAATAGTGTTTTTATATGATAGAATACAATGAATTTTTCTTTTTCATGAACACACATGGAAGATGATGGCATAATTACCCAAAACATTTATACTCAGTTGTTGCAGTGCTTCGCATCTTTTGTGAAAATAGAAGTAAACAGGTTAGATGGTTAAGGAAGCTGACTCACCTGAGGGGATACAAAAATCAACTTATTTCCTATTGATCTAACGAAAATACTGAATATATTTTAGCACCATTGATAATGATAATTTGCTACGAGTGTCCACCAGTGTTGACTGATTGCTTTTGAACTATTGCTATAATTGTATGTCAACTCAAAAAATTAGATATTCCAACTACATTGTGAACAACAGTATGAAACTTTATGGGTTTACGAACAGCAGCCCCAAGAAAGGCTGGTTCAAGTAACACACATGAGTGAAGTAGTCAGTCTTTTAAAAACAAAACTGCATTGGAGTCTGGCGATGTTGTCTGAAATATCCGAGGTTGAGATAGTCTATGTAAGTCAATTATTCCATATGTGAGAAATAATCCAGTCGATGAGATTGAATTATATGGAGTCAAGTGTAATGTTTTGAGATAAAACACGTGTGCACAATTCTCGATAGTAGGAAACTGCTGTACAATATAGCATAGTGTATGCAAAAGAGGTAGACAGCTGTGGTGATTATATATTTCAAACAGTTTTCACTTAGTAGAATAATTTTCAAGAAAGCGGCACGAAGGATAATGCTTTAATTTTGAGACTAACGAAAGAATAGAAACAACGGATTTAAATATTTAGTCCAAGTCTTAACGAATGTAATTCAAACGCATACTCCTCTTTAAGAAAATTTGAACAAAGGAAGGAAATTATTAACAAACTAAAAAAAATTAACGTACATCGCCAACTGATAAAGGTTTAAAAAAGTAGATGTCAACCTAATGATATATTGGTAACAACTGACAGTCCTCACATAACGCCTAGGTGTGATAATCACATGTCTGTAACGCGCATTTACTCGATTTTAACTTACAATGGTAAAATTCCTCAGTACTGAGATTCTTTGCCACAAATAATGTTGATAATAGTTGAGTCGCAACATACAAGTAATGCATGAAGACAATGAGTTAAATTCATTCAGTACTAACACAAATTCATATGAGCTTTGAATTTGTACTCCTATTCTCCTTTTAAGCATAACCCAGAAAACCTAGTGGTTTACAAACCAAAACCGATTAATGTGACTATAAGAGACTGATTATATAATCCCTATTCAGAAAAGTTCCATTGGATATTTTTATAGATGAAATGTAAAGAGCAGCACAATTTTACCTGGTAACTATGTGAAAATACCAATCAGACTGCAATGAATTACATATGATGGTATATACATATATAAGGCTAAGACTCTCCAGCTGTGTAACTGTAGACAACAAGATTGAATTTCACCTGAACCTTTCACTTAAACAATCGACATATCTCCACTAAAGCTTGATTGCCAGCTACTGTTTACATGAAACTCTTTGTTAATAAATTATCGGATACACAGATAGACCCTCTTAATTCAACTTGCAATCTGTAAACATTACAGATATTACTTATTTTACCTGAGCCTAGCAGTGATTATACAGTATGTATTCTCTCCCCATTCATATTTCATTAACTAACTTTAGAAACTGTGCTGATGAGTTCTGGCATAAAGTGAAGATCAGTAAACATTGTTCTAAACATCACACAAATAATAATAAATATTTATTTCAGATAATATGTCAACACATAGTACAAAAATTAGTTCCAAATATTTTCTCTTCATACACGATTTACATGTAAAGTAATCATCTCAAGTATATCATATGACGTAGCGTTGTTGTATATGAAGACAAAACCAATTCTGTAAGTTTTCCCTTCATTTCCGTCAAGAATTGCACAGGGTTTATAATGGGAGGCTAGCTGAATATGCGCGCAAGTTCATGTAGCGGTTATTTGATATAATCGCACGATTAAAACAATAAGAAATGTAGAAGAGTTTAAGCATTTTGATGGAAGAAAATTCTGGTAGCCCAGTGATTTAAGCAGGCTGCCGTGAAAGAACTGGTTCGGCGAGGAATACTAATCATATGTGGTCTCAGTTTTGAGGAGGAAGATCACAGGTTCGAATCCAGATCTTTCCATATCTAGTAGACGGTAAGAATAGTTATAGTGAACAATACTATGCGCAAGTGGAAGGATAGTAAGCGGATGGTTGCATTCACTACGAATTACAGTATTCGAATAATAATAATACCTAAGTAGAAGGAAATATATCAGTTGAATTCTTCGACTAATAACTGCTTTCTAGTCAAACAATATAATATACATCGCTGCCTCACTTTGAACTAACGAATTCTATAAATACACAGAATTCCTGTTGATTTTTTTAAATAACACTTTCTTCCCTTGGCATTACCTCTTTCTACAGTCAATTTTTGAACATGACTTAACGGCATTTTTCGCATACATGCTAGTATGCCTGTCTACATTGAATATTTTGCCTATAATCGATGCGTTGACATCGATAGTATTCTACTTCTTCTTTCCATCTACCTGCATACATACATATGCATGTATGTATTTGTGTCGATGATATGCCTGCTGCACAGAATAATACATGCAGTCTAACTGTTCTGAGAATACAAGAAATTTCAAACTAACATACAAAAGTGTCGCCATTTTCGCATACGGACACATTAAAAAGTTGTTTTGTCGGTGGCTGCTGTTTGATGATTACAATGACGACGACATCGTTATTTTTGTTGTTATTATTTGACAATGGTTATATATTTTTTTCGTTAAAATATATAAACGATTTTATTAAGGATTAATAGCGAGTAGGCAGATACACTGAAGCATTAAAACTGGAATGAATATAACCATGTCAATAATAATCAAAATAATAATAATAATAATCAAAGGCGGTCACCTTTCCAGTGTACATACACATTTTCATACAAGCACAAGTATGCCATAAATTTAACGAACTTTTATTATTACTACTGTTATTATACAACTAATTGCTGCATATCATCTATCATTGTATTTAGTGAACTTGTGTGTGTGTGTGTGTACAAGCAAATAAACAGGTGAATGAAAAAAGTACACAAACAGAAATCCATTCATAAGTACGCACACACACACACACCCACACATGTATAAGCACAAATACATTATATGGAATGTCTGCACACATAAGGTAGTTTAGTGTACAAAACACATTCTTACAATGAAGCTATGCTAAAGATCAAAAGAGTAAGCGGGTTTACTGTTTGTTAACATTATTGTTCTTTTTTCAAACGAGAAAAATAAAACACAACTCATTATTATTAGTAAGTTTACAAGTCTCTTTTCTCTCTTCATTTGATGTTACAGTCGGTTAAGAATGTAGATAAAATACATACTGTACTATAACGCATATACTTACAGTTAATAACCATTATGGATGCATAAAATAATATCAGCAGGTATTAGAGTGGCATTGATGCGGTTGATAATGACCATACCATATTCTCTTACCATTTCAAGGAAAGAGTAATTAGGAATACAAAATGGAACCGAGGTTACTATATACATAAAATAGTTTAACATATTATCTAGGCATAACAAATTATAAGTAGATGAGCATTAAGCAAATAGGAGGTTAGAGTGAATAGTAGTAGTAACAATAATAGAAAGTCCTATATTACCGAAGCTTTCTCACCCCATTTCCCTCTCTCTCTCTCTCTGTCCGCAGACTAATGAGAAAATTTAGACGGGTAATATGCTACCTTTTATACTATAAATCATTAAAAGTGAATAATAGCCCGTATATCAATTTTATTTTTCTCTAACAAAAACGGAGGATAATTAGTTAAAGTACCTATGACAGAGACAATAACTGAATCCTAGTAAAAGTCTATATAGTTATAAAATTCAAATGAACAGTTTTTCATCAACTGAAACACAGACATGTAAAATAATGATTCTTAGCTAAGTGCTAGCCATAATATGATGCAAAATCTGCAACAATCTGATGGCTTGCTTAAACTACTGGTTTATCCAATTTTTCGTCCATCAAAATGCGTCTTTAAATCGTACCACTATGGGATTTTTGGAAGGAAATTACTTAGAATAAGGTTGCTGTGATTAGAACAATTTCCACTGGTGAGGCAACTGTCATACTTTAATGTTTTCTTAATTTAAAGGAGAGTATGAATGAACCATGGATGATCAGAGTAAATAAACAGCTTCCTGTGAGGTGACAGGGATATTGTTCATAGGACAAAAACTAGATTAGTCAAACTAACTGGCAACTGTGCAGTGACAACAAGTGTATTTTTTCGAAGTATGAAAAAATGAACTGATACAATCCTTTGGAAAGTTTTACGTTAGTCAAAGTAATGGCTGAATGCTATCAACCAATTTATAGAATAAAAATGGCACACCTTAGGATAACAGATTGATGTGCACACCTCATAAAGTGATATTGGAGGATTTCACATCATGAGCTGAAAATTAATCTGACGCTGACTAGTGACTGGCCCTATTCAGGCAGCTTACCTGGAGTTCTGTTGGGAAGCCGTGACCAGTAGGGTGCAGCAGGTTGGAGGTGAGGCAATAACTCATCGAAGAAGACATTTCGAAGTGGTCGCACTATGTCGTGAATTGTCTGGAGTTAGAATTCATCGGCTGGCTATTGGATCGTGTTCCAATGGCTCAATGGTCTACGAGCCAGCTCGCCTTGTAACCAGAAGATCCTGGGTTCGTACTGGTGAGGAGTCCCTGACTGGGCGGAAACAGGTGTCCAGTACTCCCTGCAGGTTTTCCAACGGTACTCTAACTAATGTCAGCTAATGATGAAATTCCCCAACCAATCAAATAAAATTCCCTACAAAACCAATACTTGATATTAATGTATGGGTTAAACTACTGTTTCTCCAAGCCACATAGGTAAGAGCAAATCGTTTTTTTTATTTCCGTGCTTGACATGTTAGCAACCAATAGTTGCGAACATCTGCTGAAAACTCGCAAATGTAGCTGGTTTTCAACATACTCGGATTTTTTAAAGTTTCGCTGACCTTCATCCAAATATTTTGTTTGTTATCATAAATGTCTACGTTCATTCTAACATCACTCCGTTTTGCATTACTTTCTCTTCCTGTACTGTTGTCAAGAGCTGTGACAATTTAAGTTTGAGGACATCTGTTATATATATATATATATTCATTTGATTTTAACCTTAATAAACATTCCAGTGTCAACTGTGGCAGCTTCAGGTGCCACACAACTAATTTAGCCTCTATCCTGAATACATCCGTTCCCTGAACCATACGTAAACTATAGTCATAATCAAAGTACATATTGAAAACCATTCCCTTACCCAGAAGAAAGCATTTTTCATCTAACTTTCTTATTGTTTAATCATCCATATATATTTTACAAATGTACGTGTGAACAGTGTCTTATTTTCTTTAAAAATCCAAGTGTTATGAGAACAGGAAGGGAGCAAGCAATACAGCTTTTTGACTTGACGAAAGACTTGGAAATTACTGCTGCCAACATGAGCATGAAATATGTAAAATAGGAGGAGAATTAAAGAAAACAATCATAACAAGGAGACACATAAACAATGATGAACGATAACTAAAACAGGGTAAAATCTAGGCGAATGATTGATAGCTGTTTCGCTTTCTTCTCTGCTATTTTTCTTTTCAAATTTCTTTTTATTTCTTCTTTTAAGCGAAAAAGGTGCGCATAACTCGAGTTGTGTACCATACATCACATTTAGAGAAATATGCATATACAGGATGTAGATGTAAAACAAATCAAAAAAGTGTCTACCTTGCCTCAAGTAAAAAAGCAGAACTGCTGTCTTTATATAAATAGGATTGTGTATATGCATAGCATAATCTATTATGTTTACAATTAAATATTTACATGTCTATAGACACGTTGTTGCAGTATAGGTGTTACCGGACGTGCCGATACATGCATTCACACACATACACACAACAATTGTTTTATATCATATTACCGACAGAATCCTAAAAATAATGATTCCCATAATAATAGGTACTAGGTTATGTTGCCAAAAATAGTAATTTTAAATTTAAAAAAACCCACTAATATCAGTTACTACTGCAACTAATGAAAGCAACAGATGATATGAGTTCACATACATACTATCATTCAAACTAGACTTTTGATTACATAGATATACAATGATGATAACGGACACAGACAAAATGTCGGGTATTCGGATGATATAATTTTTAGGTAGATATATCTAGCTGATTAAGATGTGTTGACCAGATAACTGGCGATTGAACAGCTGTTGATGTCCAACTGGTTATAAGGTGTATGAGAAGATTAGTTAATATTTGTTCAGACGACGGTAGGTTGAGACTACCATTACCATTATCACTAATACTGGGATGACATGAATCTAAACTAGGGGAAGCATGAAAATTCTTGAAACTAAAAGAGCTGAAAGCAATTTGAAAATTAAGAAGACAATGACGACTTGTCTCGACAGGGGGAATCCATGTACATTACTAGCTTAAAATGTAAGACTAATTATTATTATATTATTATTATTGTATCCTTTAGTTCCTAGAGGAACATAGGGCTTCAGCTGCGCACCTCCATTGACTTCGGTTTTCTGACAACTTTTTCACCCTGCTCCAGGTCTGCCCACATGCTTTCATCTCCTCTTCACATGACCTCCTCCAAGTCACCCTTGGACGACCAACTCGCCGCCTCCCTTTCGGGTTCCACTCGAGGGCTTGTCTAGTGATGTCACTTGATGGTTTCCTCAGCGTATGGCCAATCCATCTCCATTTCTTTCTGCCTATTTGTTTCACAATCGGTTCCTGATTGGTTCGCTCCCAGAGATCCCTGTTGCTGATCTTTTCTGGCCATCTGATCTTGAGTATTGAGCGGAGACAGTTGTTAATGAAGGTTTGAAGTTTGTTTGAGATGCTCTTTATGACTCGCCAAGTCTCTGATCCGTATAGTAGCACTGACTTCACATTGGAGTTGAAAATCCGGATCTTATTTTTGATGCTGATTGCTGTTGACCTCCACACAGATTTGAGAGTAATGAAAGCTTGTCTTGCTTTTCCGATTCTGGCTTTGATGTCTTCGTCAGTTCCGCCTGTAGTTGAGACGATGCTTCCCAGGTAGGTGAAGGAGGTTGTTTCTTTCAGGTTCTTCCCATTTATGCTTATTGTGGTCTGTTGTTGCTGTTGATGTTGGCAAGGAATCTTCATCATCTCTGTTTTATCTATGTTCACGTGAAGTCCTATCTTTGATGCTTCTTCTGCCAACTTGTTACTTTTCATTTGCATATCTTCCAGTTTATGGGAAATCAGACATATATCATCGGCGAAATCCAGATCCTCCAAGTCTTTTGTGTCAGTCCATTTTATGCCTGTTCCCTCGTTGGTTGCCGTTGTCTGTCGCATTATCCAATCAATTGCAATCAGGAAGATCATTGGTGATAGTAGACAGCCTTGCCTCACTCCCGTCCTCACTTCGAAGGCTTCCGTAAGTTTCCCGTTGTGGATTACTTGGCATGCAGCATTGTCGTATAACTGTTGGATGAGGTGTATAATTGTCAATGGGACCCCGTAGTAGCGAAGTAGTTTCCAAATGACCTCTCGATCGACGCTGTCGAAGGCCTTTTCAAAGTCGATGAAGTTGAGATAGAGAGGTGACTGCCATTCCAAGCTTTGTTCAATGATGATCCGTAGAGTGGCGATTTGATCAATACATGATTTGTTTCTCCTGAATCCAGCCTGTTCCGGACGAAGTTTTTCATCTAGGGCTTGTTTGATTCTCTCCAGGATGATGCGACTTAGTATCTTGCTTGGAATGGACAGAAGCATAATTCCCCGCCAGTTTTTACATTGACTTAAGTCTCCTTTCTTTGGAAGTTTGAATAAGTAACTGTTCTTCCAATCCTCGGGTACTTTGCCCTCTTTCCACACCTTCTCCAGTAGTGGTGTCATCAAGTCCGCTGTTGTCTCTGGGTCTATTTTCAAAGCCTCTGCTGGGATTCCATCTGGTCCCGGTGTTTTCCCAGTTTTAAGCATCTTGATTGCATTCAGGACTTCTGATTTCGTCGGGGGGTCAGTGTTCACTGGTAGTTCTGCTTCCGTTGTTGGTATTGCTGGACGTGTTGTAGGTGGCGGACGATTTAGAAGTCTTTTGAAGTGTTCAACCCAGTGCTTTCTCTGTTCCACCTCTTTGGTGATTGACTTTCCATTGTCGTCCTTTATTGGCTTAATCTGTGTCGAACGTTTGCCCGAAAGGTTCCTAGTTGTTTGGTAGAGTGTGGCGAGGTCTCCTTTGCCTGCAGCTTGTTCTGCTTCGTTTGCCATGGTTTCATAATATTTTCTTTTGTCTTCCCTGGCGCTTTTCTTCACTCTTTTGTTCAGTGTATTGTAGCTTGCATTCAGCTCCTGTTTTTGTTGCTCGTCCGTGCACTGGATAATCTTTTGCTTCACTGTCCTTCTCTCTTCTATTAGTTTCCAAGTGTCCATAGTGAGCCACTGTTTGTCCTGTCTCTTTTTTCTGCCTAGAATTTCTATGCAGGTTTGGCTCCACACCGTTTTCAAGTTGTTCCAGTGCTTTTCAACGCCGACCTCTTCGCTAGTGTTGATTTGTGTCTCGACTTTGTCCTTTATGCTTGCAATGAAGATGTCCTTTGTAGCCTGGTCCTTCAGCTTTTGAGTGTTGAACTTGGCTTGTGGTCTATCTGCAGCTCCTGATTCCCTGAAAGCTTTTAATTTGATTTGGATTGTCCCTTGTACGAGATAGTGGTCTGAGCCAACGTCTGCTCCTCTTCTTGCTTTTGTGTCCAGTAGGCTGCGCCTCCACTTCCTTGAGATTGAGATGAAGTCGATTTGGTTTTTGGTTTGCCCGTCTGGTGACACCCATGTAGCCTTGTGGATATCTTTGTGCTTGTATACACTGCCACCAATCACCAGTTCGTTGAAGGCGCAGAAGTCGGCGAAGAGTTCTCCGTTTTCATTCATTTCTCCTAGAGCTTCTCTACCCATGATGAGTTCCCTTCCCGTATTGTCTGGTCCCAGTTTGGCGTTCATGTCTCCCATTAGTATTTTCATGTCGCCAGCTGGAGTATTGTCCATTGTTGCCTGTAGTTGCCTGTAGAATTCTTCTTTCTTCTCGAGGTCTGCGTTGTTTGTGGGTGCATAACATTGTATGATTGACACTTTCCTTCCTTTGGAGTTGAACCTGGCGGTCATTATCCTGGACGAAATCGCCTCCCATTGTATCAGGGCTTTCGTTGCCGTTGGTGACATCATGATAGCCACGCCCTCGGTGTGCGTGTGGTTATCTTCTGGGTGACCGGAGTAGATCACTGACTCACCTGTTGACAATTTGGTGAGTCCACTCCCATTCCATCTGCTCTCACATATTCCCAGCACTTGTATTCCGTATCTTTTCATCTCGTTGGCGATCTGGGCAGCTTTTCCAGTCTCGTACATAGTTCGAACGTTCCATGTTCCTACACAGACTTTTTCTTTTGGTGCAAGGAGGTTCAGCATACTGAAGATTCTGTAGCAATTTTTGTTTACAGGGTGGGGTTGCTAGCCTCACGCCTGAGAAAAGAATGATTACATTAAGTAAAAGTTTAGAGAGAAGCAACTTTTTGGGTTGCTCCCCTCAAAATCAAAAAATAACGGACAAACAATGAGAACAACATCAACAAAGGAAACAGTTCACACAAAAAAGGGCAAAAAGCGACGACAACTATACAATAAGACAACATGCAATATAGTTCAGTATATGTAACTAAAATGATATCTTAACCATAAACTCACTGACTTGGAGCAACTTGAACATATAAATCCAACAATATATACAATTATAGATGTGTTTATGTTTAAAAATTCCACAAATCCAAACAGTGAGTTATGTGTATTATCTGTCAATAAGATTGTATTTTTTGGATTCAGTGTTCGAAAGGTTAATAATTGTGATAATTTCCGCAAACACTTTGCATAAAATTTTAGAGTAATAAGATATTTTATTTATGACCAAAATGTAGCGTAATAGTCGAAAAGCGCGCGGAGACTAATTACAACGCATAAAAAAGCTTCACTGATAATTCAATCATTTGATTAAGCAGATGAAAACTTGGCTTTTAAACGTGTCTTGCTATACAAGAAACACCAAATAATTACTATTTTGTCGCCAATAGGTTTACAAGGATTGGTTTTAGTGTAATCAGCTGAGTCAAGTGACCGGACACCTATTTATTACATTAAGCGATACTTTTACTTCATCATGAATAAGCTGAACTTGAAAATCATGAATGACAAGACTTTCATTCAAAAACTCAATGACTGAGTGTTAATCGTGAAGCATGACAGTCTTCATTTATATTTTGGATGAGTTCATGGATGGGTATTGCTAACAGTTTACAACCTGAGCCAGGTTCGCCTAATATCCTTCAAAGCGGGAGTTAGTGACATGGCAAGCGTAGCCGATTAATATAATCTCACTAATTTTTCCCCCTTTCGATAATTCAATGAAGAATGGTACAATGTTTAATAAAATACGAAGTATCCAGTGCCTATCAATGCGGGAAGTGAAAGTAATCGTATAAAAAAGAATTTCAGGATAAAACCACTAGATATACACCGTCTATACGAAGTCTAAACATGTCATCAGAAAGAGAATTGTAAACAGATGTTTCCGTTTGGACATAATCACTTGCATAAGCATTCAAGGGATATATATAAAAATAAATTATAGTGATGTAGAACATCTTTTATCGGAATAACGGTTATGATTATGCAATATAAAAGCAGTCAGTGGAGTGGACTGAGCACTAATTGAACTAAAATTAGTTGAAAAAAAAATAAGGAGTTGGGTAGTGTATGAAGTGTAACCATAAGCTCTGGATTTAATAATATTGATAGTAGAAACAACAATTGCTTTTTTTTACCGATTTCATGCCGAACCTGAACGTTTGCAGAACACAACAGTAGACGTTTACCGATGTCATTATGAAACGTAATCCACTAAGAACATTATAAACATTACTGTGACGAATTAATCTTATAGATGTTCACTTAGATACCGAACCACATTCAGTCATAGATAAAAGGGCTTACAGAAATAGCGGGAGTATGAAAACACTGATATTTTAGTTTGGTGAGAGTGGAGCATGGGTTGAAAATATCGACTTCAAAATAGTAATAATAATAAGGATATATCCTAACTTTATCTTGTCAAATAACAACCATTCCTTTTGCCTTGCATTAGCATGTCGAATGTTGCAGTAGCACTTCAATTTATACTTCACTCTCTTGAGTTATTTATAAGTGAATCACTTAAAGTAACTGCAGGTATGCAATAATTTCAGCTTATAGGTTTCAGTTGGAAAAAAACCTATCACAGTACAGTAGAGAAACTTTGGAAGTATGGAAACAAATTAGCTATTCTGAAGATAAACTCTAAATAAACAGATTCAATACTGCCTTACCGCTAGGCTTACAATATATCACATCACATGAGGTTGGACAAAGAGATGAAGATCCAATAAAAATCCTATTCGTATCTGCTTCAAGAACCAGAGATGAATGAACAATCCAAGTAAGCGAAGTAGCTGACGCATTTTTAACCACTTTGCTGCATACTGTCAGGTAGATTAAACGCACTTAATTGATAAGGAACTTATTTCGCTAAATTCGAGGCCCTAAATATATATCCCATTCGGAATCTTCGGATTTCTTTTAGGGAATGGGTAAAATCAGTTAGACGACACCATTATTACAGACTTTTTAGCAAGCAAAAATAATCTGCGAAACAAACAAATTTCTAAGATAGTGGAGCTAACTTAGCGTTTGAGTGTCAGTGTGCACCTAACTAATGGAAATCATAAACAAATCTTAGTAAAGTAATGCCGACAAACATAAGTTATCTTTTATTTTCAATTTCTATTTGATCTTCCTCTTTACATCTCGATTAATCTGCCTAATGACGGAAATTGGTACATAAACACACACCGAATACACACCTCTCAAAAGGCATGCACACACACAATGCTAACGTACATGTGAAACAAAACAAACAATAAAAAACAAAATTACTATTAGCTCAATAGGTAAAAAGTCGGACAAGAATTATGTTAGTTAAAACAGTTTTCTACCCTCCTGTCTTATAAGAACAAAGTACAAACGCTTTCAACGGTGATAAACACACGTACAGAGAAAAATGCACAGACACACACAAAATAGTATACCTATTATATACCATTTAACATAAACCATCAAGTGCGTGTTAAATATAAGAGGATGGAAGTGAGATATTGAGAGGAAGCAAGAGGGTTATAAAAATCCTGGATTGTTGTCGGCACATAACATCAAAAGATATATATATATATATATATATAAGAGAAAAACCACACATCAAAGAAAATAGGAGAGGGATAGCGACAAACGATAGAAATTAAGCACAGGCAGGCACTTTCTTTTTCCGTACAGAGACTCATAAAATTACACTTTAAATGGTAGACCTAGATAGGACAGAGATTTTATGACTCTTCATTTCAAGGGTGAAACAAATGATGACTTTCTTTTTATTACTATTGAATTTACTTTTATAGATGAAATTTTCTAAAATCATAGCAGTATCTTGTCAAGTGTCTTTTTATAAATATTACTGAAATGCTTCTAAATGAAATAGGTGATTATAACAGGTCTACTTCATTTAACCAACAAGGAATTGCTTTGTTATTATTTTACTTCCTTCGCTTTCTAAGTGTAATAACACAGGGCTTTAAGCGGGAGCTTTGAAGTTGCCATAGCAGTGGTGCTAATTTTTTTACGGAGTGGAATTACTAGCTCCACGCCCAACCTTCCCTCTTTACCGAGTTCACCAGCTAAGCGACGTCTAAGAGTGCGTCAGCTGGGCATCGAAACCTGGAACACTTACGTGGTTGGCGAGTATTCTATCACTGAACCACAAACAAACAATAGTTGTTACATATTTATATATCCTGAAGATTTTTTTATCTAATCTGTAGGATACCCGATAGAAACTAACACAATCATAATTCCGACAATAAATTGTCAAGTTATGCTTCATTGGTGATCAGAGTTTCGGAGTACCAGTGCAAACTACACATCTCCACGGACAAGTGGGCAAACCAAATCACTCTAATTATGAAAAGGTCCTCCAAATTAACCACAGGGTGATACACTTTAAAAATAAAAGTGTTCAATATTATTTACCCGACTTGATTGTGAATTAAGCGTCGGTGGCACAGCGGTTAGGACTCTCGCCGACCATGCAAATGCTTCGAGGTTCGATCCCCCACCGATGCACACCTGATATCTATGGTCGGCCTGAAAAATTTGGGCTACCTATATCACAAGCTGAAAATTCTATACTTGTACCAAAAATACAGTGTGGAATCAAGCCATAATCAAAATAATATATATATATATATATATATATATATATATATATATGTAACATTACAAGGAATAGTATAATGTGGATCG